TCGAAGTACTATTAGTGGCTTCATAAGGCTTTAAGTATTGCATGTGATTTTTTATTTTGTGTAAAATTATAAATTTTCTCTTATAAAATTTTGACAAGTCTAATTTTTAACAGAGACTCTACCAAACTTTTTTAAAATCTAGTATTTTTCTTAAATTAATTAAAATCATAGATTAATTAAAAATTTATATTTTTTGAAATAGTTTGAAGATAATAACATGCACATTAGTTTTATTGTCCTCTAGATAGTAACATATGGATCGTAGTTGGATGAATGTTAAACGAATAAGTGATGTGTATGATAATAATGTAAAGGAGTTTTTAGAATTTGCTAAGAAAAATGTTGTTGATCATGGTGGAAAGTTCTATTATGCTTATCTAAATTGTTTGAATGGGAATAGACTCAGTGTTGCTGAAATAAGAAAACATTTGATTTGTGATGGGATTTTCAGAAATTATACGATATGAATTTAGCATAGTGAACGATTAAAAAATTATAGTGGTACATCTCAATATGTGAAAGTTGGTATAGAAATCTATATTGGTACACCTCAATATGTGAAAGTTGGTAATGATCTTGGTGATGAAGTAGATATGGATGAAGATCGATTAGAGGACATGATCTATAATGTTGGAGAAGAGGCCTTTGAACGAGCGCATGTGTATGATAACTTGTGCACTGATATAGAGAAGCTTTTATATCCAGGGTGTGCTGATTTCAGTTTGTTGTCTGAGGTGTTAAAATTAGTTATGTTGAAGGCAAGAGCTGGGTGGAGTGATCAGAATTTTACATGGTTGCTAGAGTTACTCCAAATAATGCTTCCAAAAGAAAATGTACTCCTAAGGCGTTATTATAATGCTAAGAAGATCTTGTGTCCAATGGACATGAATTTTAAAAAAATATAAGCATGTCCTAATGATTGTGTGCCATATAGAGAAGAGCTTGAAAGGGAGGAGAAGTGTCCAAAATGTAAGGTACCACAGTACAAAGAGAAAGGGGCTCTTATAAAGGTTTTGTGGTATCTTCCGATTATACCAAGATTCAAGCACTTATTTACAAATACTAATGATGTGAAGAACTTATGGTGACATGCAAATGAAAAGATTTTTGATAAAAAATTTTGACATCTAGCCAATTCTCCTCAGTAGAAGAAAATTAATCAATTGTTTTTTAAATTTGACAATGAACTAAGGAACCTTAGGCTTGAACTTTCTTACGACATGAACCAATGTTAAAAATAAGACTTTTAACATCGGTTATGGCATAAACCGATGTTGAAAGTCCTTTCAAAAAAAAAAATTTCAACGAGAAAGTTTTAACAGCAAGTCTATGTCCATGATTGAAAGTTCATTTTTAACAGCAGTTATAAAATCGCTGTTAAAAGTCACTTACATTTAACATCCCCTGAAATAATAGCGAATGTGGAACCGATGCTAAAAGTATTTTTTACCCACCGTTAAAAGCCTATCCTATAATAGTATTCCTTTTGACAATTTAAAAATAAATTTTATATCACTTTTCTTTCATGGATAAAACTTGAGGTCCTTGATGAAGCACTTCCCCCCAAGAATCACGAGAGGTGATCTGAATTCATTCATAAACAAAGCATGTCTTTGTTAGTAAAATCATCTTTTAAAAGTTTTAAACAAGCTTTTAGGTCTTTTAATGCTAAATGAAAACCGGCACTGTATATTTATGTAAGTCTATTGGTATCAATAAGTATTATACTGTAAAAAATTTGAGAAACCATGTTGCTTGGCTTAACAAGTAAGTGCTCAATCAGTTAAAGTCATGATGAGTTCCCTAGTTCGAGGAATGAAAATAATATAAACTTTGAGGTCTAATTTAAATTTAATTTTCATTTTTGCATCAAAAATATTTTTTGGGCTGACAATTTCTCCCCAGTCAATTTAATAGATGAAATTAATTGATGATCAATCATGAAAAATGGCAATTTTGATAAGAGTGATCCTCCCACTTCCTCATGTGGCTTTAATTTCTCGTGAAGATTAATGACTAGCCATTTCTAAATCTAATCCTAGCATCTTCTAAGAAGCTATGTCTAGAAACTTGACAAGCCTCGGATCCTTTAACCCATGAAGTTGTTCTGAGTTGAAGAATTCTTTCAAGTAATGCCCGTAGAGATAAAATTTCCTAATACGATGCTCTTCTCAAGGTTTCGGCTAATCCTAGATAATCTCATGAATGCTAGCTAGATAAAATTTCCTTTGATATTAATATACAAAAAAGCTAAGTTATTTATTCATTCTAGTGTGCGAGGTAACATAAAAAAAAATTATTTGGGTTTGAGTTTACTCAAAAAACCTGAGGCCTCTCCATAAAAGATCTTTCAACTAACTTGAATGTCAAAGTGAAATTAAAGAATTCCTTCAAAAACTCCTAACACCCTTACAAATAATAATTTCAAAAAGTAGTCACATAAAATTTATACTTGTGGAAGCTATATTTAACTATAGAACCACTCTTATTAAACTTAACACATTTTATTTTATATATTTCTAACCTTATAACTTTTCAAAGATTCTCCAAAGCAATTCTAAATCATATTAATAATTACTTTTTAACTTTAAAGTGCCTGTGGGCTTGTTTTATAGGTCATAAGCATCCAATAAAAAAGTTTTCAGTAACTAAATAAATTTTAATTTATGATAAATTATTCTCTAGATTCACCTTTAATTTATAAATTGATTTAGATAGGTCTAAAAATAATCTCTACATGTTTCAAGATTATTCAAAATCATTTAGAGTTTTTTAAAATTATTTTCTATCATCCCAAAAAAGCGGGTCATCACTCAACATCTTTATGCATTTTCCAGGTTTTTCCTAATTTTAAATTCATCTAAATTTAGTGATCATAGTTAGAACAAAAATTTTAAGATATTTATCCGACCTTAAAAAGTCTCAATCTAATATAGAAATATCTGTGTAGCCTCTTTAGTCTTTACTCTTTAGAATTTCTCCCCCTGCTCTACGAAACGCTCGCTTTCGTTCTCTCTTGTGATCTCTCTCACAGCGCTGCCACGAAAACAAAATAAGAGCCCTTACTGTTCGACTATAAATAATCTTTTTATTGTTTTATTTTATTTTCTTTATCCTTTAAAGATTTAATTAATATTAGAAAAAAATTATCGTTTAACTATAAAATATAATACCAATAGAGTAGAGTCAGAAAATTTTATTAGAAAAACTGAAATGATAAAGTATATATAATAATCAAAAGAAAATTAAATTTATATATATATATTACTAACACAATATAAATATTTTAACTTATATATTTATATTTAATTTTACATATAAAATATATATATATATATCAAAAATAAATATACATATTCATTTTTTAAATTTTTCTTATTAATTTTTACGGTATAAGAGTAATTAATTATTATATTTATGATAAAAATTTTAAAAATTTCTTCTTATATAAACTATCATTCAATTGGTAAAAATTTTATCTTTCTCATAAGCATTGGGAAAATACATAATTAAAATTTAAAGTTTTGTTTAATATAAAAAAATTCTATTACTTACTTATTTAATTTATTATTTAATTTTTTTAACGGATACATTCATTATTCAATATATTTTGAGATTTTTATTGTAATACTTTATAAAATTTGTTAACAGTAATTTTTATAATTGTTTTCATTAAATATAAAATAAAAATAAAATTAAATGATATCAATGTTTTAAAGCAATTACAATATTATTTTATTGAAAATAAATAAATCTTATGATAAATATATTTTTAAGTTATTAAAACAGTTGGACTATATTTATGTAAAAGACTATTTAAAATGAAAATAAAAATTTCATCTACTCTCTCAAAATTTTTATAATGTATTAATTTAAAAAATAAAAAATATATAATTTTTATATTTTATTAAAAAAAATTAAGTTAGAAGACGTGACTCTTGCTAGTTTTCCTATCTCTACCCCTAAGTATCAAGATATAAAAAGAAGATAAAGAGATAAAGATATTACAATCAATTGAAAATCGTATAAATAAATCATAATCACATCACATTTAATGATAGTAATATGTCATGACATTTAAATTTGAACTTGAATCATAAAATATTTTTGAAAAATCCTTTCCAAAAAATCTTTTTCTATAGATAAAAATATGTGAAAACGTCCCGGAAAAGAGTCAAAACATAAAGCAAAGAGGCACACCCTGCCTCCTTTATTATATCTTGTCCAAAATGAATTACTCATCATTTACCTATGTCTTGAAGGAGGACGAATGAAAATCAAAATTTTGAAATTAGAACTTAATTTAGCAAGCTAATTAAATTCATTGTTCTCATAATAAACATTACAAGAAAAAATTCAATCCTTAGCCACGAATCCTTTAATTTGTTTTGTCAAGTATTTTAGAAAAAAAATTAATTTACAAGTCTTTTTAGTTTTCATCGATTTTAAAATAGGTTATTATAGTATATTTTATTATTCAAACCTTTGTAATTTTCTCAATTAAATATAATAGTCTCTCAAGGTTAAACTTGTTAATACATGATTAAATTTTCAAAACAAAAACACTTTTAAAATTTAAAGAAAATATTGATTTAACGCTTTTATAAAAAAGAAAAAAAGGATTGGTTTAATATAACTTCATTAATTTTTATGAAAATTTTATATATAAAAATTATTTAGAAAACATAATCTAATTATTTAAGTTATGAGTTATAAAAATTATGCACTAAATTCTAAAGTTATATAATATTTCAATAAAAATATAAAAGTGTTTAAGTGTATTTTTAAAAGGAAAAAATCAGAGATTTTAATTTTTAGTAATTAAAATATTCAATCAATTAGATTAAATTAAAATAAAATAAATTACATAAACTGAATTCAAAATTAAAAACTTAAAATGTTCTGCAAATTAATTTTCCAAATCAAACGTTTCGGAGTGCAAGTGCAATGATTAGCTTCCACCACAATCATAATAAAAGAGAAAATTGGAATCCGCTGTCTCGCGTTTTCTCTACAGAAACTCCTACCTTTCCTGTTTCTCCTCTCGCCAGAAGTTAGAAGGAGAGTATCTTTGCTGATTAACTCCGAAGGGGGAGGCTCTTGTGATTCGATTTAAATACTCAAGGTCTCGCTTCTTCGGCCATTTAACTTCCTTGAATATCCCATTCATCTCTCCCCCCAAGATAAGCTTTTTCTTTTGTGTCTATGTCTGCCATGAATGCCCACTTGTGCATTTATAATCAAAGGGGCCAGTTTTCCTAAGCTTATTTATTATTACCTGCCCTCTACTTCGTCTTTCCATTTTTCCTTTCCTGAGTAACCCGGTGGATGCGGACTACCTACAAAGCCAAGGCATGGTAGTGGATTTTTGGTATTCGTCATAGCAGCAAAATGCTTTCTCTGAGGTGACTTATCAAATTTCAATGCATTTGTTCGCTTGAGTATCGTTTAAATCATTGTTTCATATCTCTTTCTTGTAGTTCTATCAGTCTTTTCAAAATCGTATTATGTAATTTGATGATAAATAAATATTTAGTGTTAATTTTCTTGGAGGTTGGTTTCTAGTGATTTATTATCAAAATGAAAAGACTACTTTTCATGCTTGAACTAATTGCTCTATCCTCCTCAGTGTTGTTTAGAGATTTCTGTGACGGGTCCTTTTTTTTAACTGTATATTAGGGATTTTTGGAGGCGGCATAGGAGGAAGATTTTCGTTAGTGCTGGTGTTTTCGGAAGTGGGTATCTTTTGTATAAGCTGTATGGTGCTCACAGGCGTAGACTTGATGCATTGGAGACAGAACTCGCAGTTCAGAGAGAAAATGAGGAGCTCATCAAGGCTCAGTTAAGTGCCATTCTTAGCCTCATTTCTTCTATTCCACCCCCTCCCAAACACACACACATAAAGAAAAAAGGAATTCTCATAACACATTTTCATGATGCTGACATTGATAGGATGCAAGCTCACTTCGAGAATATTCAGATGATTTCTGATACAATAACGTTGCCTCATGCAATGCACTATTTGAGTTGTCGGATCGCGGAAGATCTGGATCTTTCTCAGCTTCTTGAGAGGCTAATTCAAGGAAAGGGGCAACCAAACACGTTAACAAATTCAGAGAAACTAGAATTATGGGATAGACTCAAAATATTAAGTATGTCCCTAGCTCGGATTTGATATTTAGCATACTTGTTGCTTTGCTGTGTTAGATTGTCTGGCTGTTCTGAGAAAATTAAATACAATTGTTCTTATATGCAATTTTGTCTAGGTTTCACGAGAATGGCACTGTCAATATGGGCGACAACAATGCTTAGCTTATATGTAAAAGTTCAAGTCAATATACTGGGAAGGGTTCTATACATTGATATTGCACGAAGCCTTGGAAGCTCCAATATGATGGTATGGACCTCTGTTTTTTCTTATTCTTTTTTAGGTTTTCAATTTCATTACAAACGTTTGCATATGTTAAGGATATTAGTCAAATCAATAGCAAGTCTTCACCTACCCCTTTATATTTAGGGGATGAAATGGTCTTTATTGAGAATGGATTTCACATGGGATATAATACGTCGGAATCTTGGAGATAATAATAGACGTTCATGTAACAGCCTGTCCTTAATGCCTCTCTAAGAAAAATAATGTAAAATGGCATTTTGAAAAAGCTTTTTAGGGTCCCCTTTTTGGGCTTTTGATCATCCTCCACCTTGTTGTAAGGTGGTGAATGATGAAAGGGTGAATTGATTTGTTTGGCATGTGGCTATGTTCTCTTATGTTTGCTCCTGATTGTATTGTTTCTGCAGGTTAATTGTATATAGATATGTCCTTGTTTATTCAAAAAAAAAAAAAAAGTTTTTGTGAGCATTATTTGCTAGAATTACTGTCAATTCATTCTGCTATGTCGCTAACAGTCTGTTAACATCCTTCTATGCTAGATACTTGAAAGAAAAATCAGAAAACTGTATATCTTAGAAGGTCAGAAGATGAATGTAGTATCTATTCACAATAGCCTGCTCCCTGGCACCTAGTGGCAACATCCTCACTTTGAAAAGCTGGACATTGCTACAATATACAGATCTTTTTTCAAAAAATACTAAACATTTTTTTAAGAAAGCAAGTAGTTTGTTGAGAATATTTTGAATGACTGGGACTCCTCTTGATCTTGTGGACATATTTTGTAGGTTTCAATTAAGTTATCTGCTCCGCTTCTTAGTGTTTTGAGACTTTACCTAACCGTGGTTAGAAAGTGTCACTCTGCCAACCTATGTTTATGGTTTTCTCCATATCAGTTGACATTACTTGCTTCTTACTCTTTCATCATATAGTGAGGTTAAACTATGGCTAGCATGAGTAGCAGATAATTCATTATATATGACCGTTGGTAATATGTGTTGTTTACACAACTTTATTGTCTGTGTATGGGGACATGAGTTTATAGAATGCCCCAAAATGAATTGTGGTAAGCAATGTTCACTTAGAAGCAATTAGAATTACATATACATCCAAGTTCAGAATTAGATATGAGATCCTGTAGTCCTCAAAGGAGATTGCTAGAGGAGGGGTATTTAAGGTCAAGATAGAGTTTAGTTTTTCTCAACTGTAAGGTAATGATTCAGTGAATTAGTTATTTCACATCTCTTAGTCCCTTTGGATCACACTTGAATTTTTCAGTGACTCATATACTTACTTCAGTTACACCAAATATAAAACTATCTGTTTACTGCTGAAGTGACAGGACTATTACAGCAATCATGCATGTTATAACAATTCTTTTACTGTTGATCCCTGAGGTGGAGATTCCTGTTTCCACAAAGATAACTTGCTGGTTACTAAGGTCCATTCCTTGTTATAATTCTTACCTACAATAATTTGGCCCCAGAGTACTGCTTGCAAACTATTTCTCATTAAGGTTTGAGGGGTTAATGCGGTGAGTTGTAATGATCTGAATTTGTGAAATAGTGAATAAAGAGAGCTGGAATCTGCCATATGATGATTATTTGTCATGCAAAAACCATTACTATATTAGTAGAAGGGCTTTGTTACCTCTTCCCCAACAATACACTTAACCATTCACTAAAAAAATTAAAGCCATCCTTCCTTGAAGTATTACATCAGTAATAAGTGCTAATTCTCTGTATATGTTTCTACCTGTTCATCTGAGAACATCTTGATGACCTTGTTAAGATTCATGGGAATGCTCAACATATTTAGTTGGACCTATGCTCTTGACTTTCTATAATAAAAATTGGCTCAATACCTTTTTGTGAGACCCTACAATCTTTGCAAACTTTGTTGACAATTATATATCCCTTGTAAATTGTTTAGTAAGCATTTGCTGCGTTGATAAACTTCGTATATTTTTTGAGATGGAGTTTTTATCATGAAGGATACTAGGGTAAGGTGAGGTAGTGATATATTTTATGGCCCTACTGAGGTCTGATGATTAACTGGATCCTAATAAGAGGCAAATTGACTGTCCAGTCGTAATTAATTGTACTTGAGTCATGGCTAGAAAAATATATTCACACATGACCATTGGAACCAAACTTCTAATAAAGATGCAGATTTGGATTATGAACTTAATTAATGAAGTACTCCCTCCGTTTCCAAATTTAAGCAAATTTTAAGCAACTCACATAGTTTAAGAAAGTTGATTAACCATGATAATTAGGTTTGAAATTAAAAAATGGACTAAAATTACCCTTGTAATTAACGAAATAAGTTTGTCTCATTCAAATAAATCTTGATTTTATGAGGGGCAATTTGGAAAAAGTGTAATAAATGCTTCTTGAATTTTGTAGTTTTGCTTGGGAAAAAAAAACAATGAAACATATAGTAGTTTCTCTTATAATAAAAAAATGGAGGGAGTAAGTAGTTCAAATTTTAACTTTTGATATGTTTATAAAGTGAATCACTAATCAAATCATGAGGTAAAACACTAATTTAAACTTGACCTATCAAATTCCTGAAGGAGTTATAAAACAATTCTTCCCGTAGCTATTCTTTAATTTCTAGTTTAATAAGGGTACCCCATGGATTTATTCAGCATCGACTGAGGAAAAACTCTGTCAACTTCATTTCACCAAACTTAATTAAAGAACTGCACATCATGTAAACAATGCGATGGGAACTGCAAGTATTTTCCACCAAATTCAAGCGTGTCATATGCAACCTAAAAGTCTCTTTACCCTTTTCTGTTGTTTATACAGGAGAGTAGGGACGTTGTTGATAGGGAAGACCAGCAGAAATTCCTTGGAAGCATAGATTTTCTCTCTCAACATGGTATACCTTCCTTGGTTTCTGATATGGAGTTGGCAACTAAAGAAGTTCTCAAAGGGTGAGGTTCTTCAATAATCTTGACGGTCAATTATTTGTGAAGTAAATCTCACAATTTCTTGGAAACGTTTTCTGGGATGGGGATATATATAAGAAAATTAACTTTTCATGAGATATAGAACTATGTAAACCCTGTGCATTTTGGGCTGCAGGAACTCATGTATGCATGCCTGAAAATGTGTACTGTCTATTACCAAATCTGATTTGTGAAATGTCTAACTCCTTTTATTTTATTTTATTTTTTTATTATTTTTTGAATGAATCAAATACAAACAACCACACACACACACCCCTACTTACCTACACCTTTCCCCATAGGGAAGAGTGACATTCAAAATTCCGTTAACTGTGCATCTGAATTGAGAAAACCATAGAGCTTCAAATTCTTCTCAGCATAATTATCTACGTGTTTACTTTACTCCTAATTGAATGGTGAATAAACTTTTGACATAACGGAAGTCTCCGTTTTTAATGTTAGCAGTTAGCACATATGTGCAACCTTTGATCTGCCTCCTGAAAAAGTTGACAATAAACCTAAATTCTCTTAGCTTAATGTGTGCTAGCGTGTAAATAAGCTAGGAACTTTAGCCTGAACCGAAAGTAAAAGCAAGCTCATTTGGTTGGAGAGCCCAAGGTCCCAATAATCCTCACATCAGAACCCCATCTTTTCATTGTGGGGATCAAGTCCCATGCTTTGCAAATGAGTCCTAGCATTCCACACTCCACAGCCCTGATGCTCATGCAAGCTGGCTTTGTTCTAACTTTTGAGCCTGGGTTAACACTACACGTTGCCTACACTGCATGATTGTGGCTAGGATGTAGTAGAAGGCTCTAATACCAGTTTATTTGGAAAACCACACTCCAAAAGCTTGCTCATAAGGTTGAGTTTGAGCTCGCCATAAACCCTAAATCAAAATTCCATACTGCAAATGTGAGACTAAAGTCTCATGTATATGATTGAGCTTGACAAAAAAACATGGTGGGATAAGTGATAAACCATGATTCATAATTATTTTGGCTTACAAGTATTGACTTCATTTTGAGGACCAAGAGATCAATAAATTCTCTGTTAACATTGATTTTAAAAAGGATGGATAATTTCTATTTGCAGAAAGCAGTTGAGAGATTTCTTCAACAATAAAGCACTCCATGAAACTATCATGCAGATACTCAACACATTCATGAGCACAGGAAGTCCGCACTCCTGGGTAAAGTACATGATGCCTGAGGCTATTGAATCACATACAGCAGCCTCCAGCAGTGTTGATCCTGTTCCTTTGGACACGATTGGATTAGGTCAGCTAATGGCAGAGGCACGGGCAGTGTTAACGAGGTATATATGTAATGTTTGACTCATTGATTAACAACAGCTTGGCATAAAATTAATCAACCTGGGTCAACCATTTTCTTAAGCTCTGTACTTGTATCATGCAGCATGATATTCATGCTTTAGGTCAATGCTGAAAACTTATATGAGATAGAAAATCCTAGATAAAATTGTCAGATATTTTTGATAAAATGATATGTTCTGTTGGACTTAACATCAACCAAATCATGCATGAATTATGATACAGAGCTAATTAAGGTTCGACATATTTTTGTTATAATTGTTGTTATCACAAGAAGATGCATAATTTCCTGGGAAATCATTTGTAAAATTTCTATATACAATATACATAGACTTATGAGAAACGCATTAAAGCAGAGTTAGTGGATGGTCTGTGATCCTTCATTTGGTTATTCAGCATTGTGAATCCCAGTCATTTCTTTGGTTTAACTGATGGAAGATTTGTCTCTGACTCTCAGTTAATGCTTCTTGGTTTCAGTGTATCGGTCTTCTCTTGTGCAAGACTCCGCTCTGTAAATCTGAGTTTCTAGCTGATACTGTTCTAACATTTCTCTAGTTTGAAGGATTTGAGTCAAATCCTACTAAGAGCTAAAATTAACCAAAAATGCCGACCATCTAGTTGACGCTTTATGGAAGCTTTTCTCGGCCTTTATTCTTTCCTGCTTTTGATTCAACAGTGGAAATGATTAAAATAATTCCATCCGGTTTGATTTATTCATTTACTAAAGTTAGTTTAAGTACTTTTTTTTAGTATTATATCATGTGTGTTGTGGAGATGGACAAAATTTCCATACCCTATTGGTCCATGCAAAATTTACCCAGGTCTAGGCATAGGATGTAATATGATGTCTCTGGGGACGGGGATTAATATTTATACCCCACCTGTATCCTACAAATGGTCATCCCTGGGGTATGGGCGAAGAAATCATCGAAGCATATCAGAACTGAGAGAGGGGAGAAGGAACTTCTTTCAAATTAAGTTTCTTTGTTTTTTGCAGTGCCGAATTTGGAAACATTTTGGAGATATCTTTGAAAGCAGTGGTGGACACACTTGTGGAGCTTATGGGGGCTAAATTTGGAGGGGGGAATTTAACTTCAGGCGTGCCGCTGGCCAAATTATTGCCTCAAATTGCACACACGTGTCCCTATCTATTCGAAGAACTTGGCAAAAATCAGTTCATCCAGACCATAAAAGGTATACCTGAGGTTGAACGTTTTTTCACCCTCCTCTATGCAAATGTATCAAGCGCGTAGAGCAGTATAAGTTATGCTTCAAGTGAAAAATCGAAAAGGAAAAAAAAAAAAGGAGAGAGAGAGATTAAATTTATTTTATGGAAAGCACGAGGCATCAATGTAAAATAGTTTAAAGAGGTCCAAAAGGCTTCCTGAAAGAATTAATTGCATAGTAGCTCAGTCGTTATTCTAGGTCTCATCAGCATGGAAAATTTTTCTTCCGCTGTAGTTAATGTTGTACACTGCTGCTTCCTTGGCTTTAACTTGGCCCTCAGAGGAACTGTCTTTTCGGACTGCAGTTGCCTTTTTATCAGTAGTCTGTACTGTATAGACAATAATGTTTTTCATGATTTCATCCATTTCTTTGTTCATGAATTGCTTCTTTTTTTTGTCCTCCAATCTATGAACTGCTTGCTGATCCTGTGAAACAATGCTAGAATCTAGTCTTGTAGATTCTACTTCAGTATTCAGTATGCGAGTGTGGTTCTATTAGTGTAAAATAGGCATACAAGTATATCTCAAGTGAGTTTTGCTGAGTACTGTTATTTGATGTTTGTGATTGTTTTAGTTGACTTAAGCTACACGCAATGATAGGTTATCTCGAGTGAGTCATAGTTCACCTTAAGTCCTTGCTATTTGATCGTTGCCTGATTTCGGATATATCACTCATGAAGTGTAACTTTAAAAAATAAAAAAAGGAGACGGGAAATAATATAAAAGTAGACGGGAAAATAATATAAAAGTTCTTACTTTTCTAGTGTTGAACGTTGATAGAAAATGGGCAACGCAGTTTTTTTTTTTTTTTTTGTGAAACTTCATAGTGAAGCACTGGTTCTTTTTGTTCCATTGTTTTATTTGTTTGATAGATACGTAGTGCTTTGAGGGAACGACCTCGAATGTGTTTAGGTGAAATATCACTCAACCAATCCATTGAATTTGATCTTTAGCAGGTTGGTTTCATTAATCTGGTTTATGAAAGCATCTTATCTTATGTGGATTCTAAGCAAAAGATATTAAGAAATATCAAATAAGAGCCAAATTAGCTTAAATGATTTGCTAAAAAAATGTAGCTTACATGATTGGAATTGGAGGTATGAACTTTGAATTTGGATAAAAAGATGGCTAAAGGCGCATTTTGTGAAGTATTCTTTAAGGAGCATTTTAGCACTCTAAATTATTAATTGGGGTAATTTTGTTCTTAAAATAATTAAAAAAAACATTTTTACCATTTCTATTAAAATTCATGATAGTCAACATTAGAGTTTCAGTTTTGGTAAAAAAAAAAACCATTAGAGTTTCAGTTAATATTTCTAATGATTAATGTTGAAAATTTGATGGTAAAAGCAAAATCATTCTGTTTTAATTACTTTAAGAGGCAAAATTGTTCCAACTAAAAATTTAAAGTGCTAGACGCTTTTTGAAGAATGTTTTAAAAGTAAAAATGCACATTTATCCTAAAAAGATAGCAAAAAAATATTAGTATATTCTGAAATTATATTGCAATTGACATGAGACTCAACTAAGATTCTCTTTTTCATCAAGATGGAGATTAAATCTCAGTAAGTTTGTAATTGTTTTTATTTAAACACTTTTTTTTATTGTATCATCCAATATCATGGGAGATTGTTTTGAAAATATTTTTGACATATTTATTTAATAAGACTGTATATATCAAGATTTGAACTCCAGATTTTGTGATAAGTTAATTCAATTTTATTGACTAGTTGAACCAAACATTACTCTGTATTAAACACTTTAAATATCACTTCTTCTTCTTTTTGCAACCGGTCACTAAACATTTATTATTTTATTATTTATTGTCATTATTAGATCTCTCCATTAACCATGTGAACCAATTGGAGGTGGACCAAAACAATGACTACAATTGGCATGTGAGGCTCTAATAGGTCGAAACACGTTGAACATTACTTGTTTTTATTATTTCTTGTTATAAATAGAATTTTCCAGTTACAACACGTCACCAAATGAGTTGTATAATTTTTTAGATACTTGTTTTTAAAGTTTTAGATTGAAACAAGGCAAATGGATACGTTTAACAGCTCGTTATTATACAATTAGGTGTTTTACATTTTTCGGAATGTATTTATTTAAAACATGATAATAAAGTACTTATAAAATTTTACCCTTGTCGTTATATTTTTTGTACTTTGTATCGTAAATTTATAATTCCAACAAATCAACTGAAACCATATTTTATTATAAATGTTTTAATTTATAGCAATCGCAAAAGGAAAAGAGACGTGCTGAAAATAGAATTGACTTCTATTCCGTTTTTCCGGTACAAGAAAAAAAAAAGGAAGGGAAAACAATAATAAAATCCTACTAAATTATATAAATAACAATTTGATCCTATAAAATATTATAATTTTATTGAAATTTTTAGGAACTTCTGTATTAATAAATTTTAATTTGAAAAGATCAGTTTACCATTCTTTGAATAAAAGTTATTATTTTTTAAACAAAAATTATGATCTGGTTTGTTATTTTGAAAACTTATTTTTTAATAAAAGAAATTATGCTTAACAAATTATGATTTCTTCTTCAATTCCTGTAATTCACAAAAAAATAATTGTTTTTTTTTAAAAAAAAGTTATAATCAAGCTTGTTTTTCAATAATAAAAATTATATTTATAAATTATTATTTCTTATTCAACTATTGTGTTTTACCAAATAAAAATTATTATTTCTTAAACAAAAGTTATGAGATTATTATTTTTAATAAAGATAAAATGATCTTTTTATTTCAAAATTTATTGACATAAAAGTCTTTAAAAATTTTAATAAAATTATAACATTTCAAAAGATTATTATCATTTTTTCAAAAAGAAAAGAATTTTCTCTTCTGTTTTGCTCTCTTTCTAGTTTGAATTTTTATCTCCGTCTTATTAAAAAAATGAATGACTCTCTTTTGTGTGTGTGTGTCTCTCTGTGTGTGTGTGTGTGTGTGTGTGTGTGTGTGTGTGTGTGTGTGTGTGTCGTGTGTGTGTGTGTGTGTGTGTGTGTGTGATTTCATTCATGAATCTATTTTCTTCCTCATGAGTTATAGTCTCATACAAAAGAATGCAAAGCTTGCTCTCAATGACCAACCAAAGTTTCTTGTCTTTTGGATTTATAATTGATTTTATAATATATAAAAAGTTTGAATATTTTAAAAAAAATCATGATTTTAGATTTATAATTAATTTTGATATTGTATAGTAAAATTGATATGAATTGTGGTTAACAAGATCAAAAAATTTAACTTAATTCAATACTCTATCCAAACTTTGCCTATTTTTCATAGTTGATCATAAGTTCAAATAATTGAAGAAGATTGTGTTAAGTCATCGTCAACTAATTTAAAACCCTCTTAAATTCCTTGTGACATGGATTCAAGACATTGCCGTTGTCGATGCAAGATTATATCAATTGTATATACAATATGACTAACTTTGAAAAGGCCCTGTCAACTTGGCATACAATGTTGTTGGCTTGGTATGCAATTAGGTGATTGAATATTACGTTAATTTGGCACTAGAGTTAAAGTAACATTATTTGATATAAATAAGGGTAAATGAGTAAATTAGCCCTTAAACTATAAATCCAAAAGCATGTGAGATTCTAAATTTATTTTTTATGCAATATTTTTCTTCAATTTTTGCAAACAATACATTTTGACTTTGCTATTAATAAAAGTTAATTTTAACCGTTAATTAATTAAAAAATAATAAAAAAGAACTCAAAAGATATATAAAAGGAACCAAAAAAATTTTTGATCATTTTTTATAATTTTTATTTTTGATGTATTTTCCTAATCAACTAACAATAAAAATTAACATTTATTAACAACAAATGTTAGATTGTATCGTTTTTAAAAGTTAAAGAGAAATATTACACAAAACATAATGTTAGAGTTTCAAACGCTTCCGAAACTATAGTTTAGAGATTAATTTACTTATTGATTCTATAAATAATCAAATCATTTTTCTTTAATAAATGAAAACTAGTCAAAAAAATATCAAGAAAGGCACTTAATTCCACTTTAAGCTTTATAATATATTAACAACTTTAGTCCTTGGAATTGCTGAATTGTCGTTTAGGTCTTAAGGCCTTTAAGCAAAAACTGAAATAAACTTTGATGAGAAAAAAGAAGCTGAATTTAAATTACAAAGTGTACATAACTGCTAAGGACTCATTTGGTAGAAAGAATATATTCTGACAGAGAATAATGAAAATAACCGAAATGTTTAAAAAAAAAAATGCTTGGCATGTAAAAGAAACAAGGATGGATTGATAAACGAAAAGAAAAAAGAAAAAGAAACACCGAAAAGCTTTATATTTATTGAGTATTAAATACTAAAATATCTTTTTCCCCCGTATAGACAATGACAAGGATGCCCCTCTTCCTCAATTAAAACTCAACGCGTAAAATTATAATTATAAAATATCAAAATGATAGTTGTAAATTATTAATGAAGTATTGTAAATAATTAGTGTTAAAATTTACTAGTAATACGTGATTAATTTAATTATTAGATATGCAAAGTTATAATTATAAATTATTGAAATGAGAACTGTAAATTAATAATGAGATAGTCGTATATAATTAATATTAAACATGTAACGTATGATTAGTTTAACTATTAGATATGTAAAATTACAATTGTAAAAAATTAAAATGATAGCTATACTAACGAAGTAGTTGTAAATTACTTAATTAATGTAATGTATTTTTAATAAGGGTATCATTGTCTTTACACTCCAATTTTAAATTACACTCAGGTCTCAAGACTATGGTTTTTAAATTTTAATGAAACTTATTTATAAATAAATATGTTCCATAAGACCTATATGCAATTTTTCCTAAAATAAATAATTTTTTTACCTTTCATTTTAAAAATTCATATAGTCGAACTTGAATCAGGTGTAAAAAAAAAGAGGATTTGGATTTAATAACTATAGGCACTAAGTACATGTACTATCTAAGCCATTAAAGTCTATATTAACGATTTAGATAAACTCACTCATTTATTAATTTTAAGTAGAGTATGAATTTAAAATTATTAATATAAATTTTAATAATTTAAATAATAAAGGCACTCAGTACTTCTACTGGGTATAATTTCTTAATTCAAATCCAAAAAAGAGCAGCCTTGCACTGAGTACGCTGAGTACCTTCAACAAAACCCCAGACACCATGTTGCTTGCTCTCTTCAACTTTATATTCTATTTTAATCGTTTCATTTGTGAGGAGCCATACAAGATGAAAATTTCACATACGATTCTGTAGTAAAGATGAAATGAAGAAAAAACCATCAACTATAACCCAAAAAAACCATATTTCATAAACAACATAGAGGAAAAATGAAAG